TGGGGAGGTGGGGGGCGGGGGGGCTTTACATTTATTTTTTCAAGGATAGGAGCCTGGTATAGATTTTGGGGGGGAACCACAGTAATTGTTTACACTTTAGATTGGGGTGCCTGGAGATTTTGCATACTTTCAATGGGTGCCATGACTGAAGAAAGGTTGTGAAATGCTGTTTTAAATCAACTAATTTTGCATTCTGAGGATACGACACAAAGCAGAATTTGATGCACAGTACACAGCAGGGTTGAGTCTCTCAGGCAACAGAGATAAGACCTCTGCCAAGGCACATATTCATTCTTTAGAATGACCCTGAAACATTGGCTGTATGATGTGGCAATATAATAAAAAGTGCTTTACTTCTTGCACATATCGAGTGCTGGTGACTTCTGTTATGGTGTTGGTAAAAGAACACACAACTGGCAGTAAAGAAAATATCCGCACAGATGTCCCTTATAGACAAACGCTGACGAATTTGCACTTTCAATATTCATTTATGAAGAGTTTCTTCTTAGGACAGATCGCCGTTTCTCCCAAGCGTATTTAGTTTCCATTAATGTTGTGTTTACAACCATAGTCTGCTGGAAGTTTGCCCTTTTTCCATCTCCCTCTCTGTCATTAAAGTTATATTTCTTTAACTGGGCCCCTTAACCAAGACGTCCCCATGATGACCCATCTCCGTGGCCTGTATTCTTGTGAATGGAGGGTGTGGGTGAAAGTCTCCTCCTCTCTGCTTAACAAACACGTCCTTGGAGTAGTAGACTACTAGGGGATCCGTGTGATGGAAAGGGGGGAAGGAAGGCGATGGTGTGAATTGTCAGGTAAGGCGGGCTGGGCATTATAAATTGCACTCATGTACAGTCTTTTCATTCAGAGCAGAGCGAGCGTGGGAAAAGTCTGAGCTACGTCAACACCGCCAGGGCCGAGAAATGTCATCTCACCACCAACATAAGGCAAATATTGAGCAGTACTGAGGAATTTGTAAATATAGTACGAAAGTCATAACACGACGTAAGGACAAGTCACCGGTGGGAAAAGTCAGCTTATGGTGTACAGAAGGGGCATTAATAATACATAACTGCTGACTGAGGGGTCAATTCACGGCTTGTCAAACATCGGATACTATCAGAAGAAATTCATAACAAAGTATGTCTTCCACTGTAAATACATTGCCAAAACATTGGGGAAGGGGTTAGAACCACTATCAGGAGAGACACAGCCAACAATAGTGTCTGACCATTTTCACCAGGACAGGAAGTGATGGAATATCCAACATTTTACAGTTGTTGCCACAATAGGTGAGGAGAAATCTGTCAATGGGGGCACAATTTAGAGGGGAACTCACGTACCAGTCAGCTTCTGAGCCAGCAAGTAAAGGGAAATCTTCCCAATGGGGAAAAGACAATTCTGAAAAGTTTTTAACCATTTTGGTTGGAGAAAGTGGTAGTTTTTGGTCTTTTGGATAGATTGTTTCAGTTTTTGGAGGTTTTTTTCATGTTTTGGATAGAGTGTTATCTTTACTTTTTGGATAATTTTTTCTAGGTTTTGGATAGAGGATTTTTCTAGGGTTTGGATTAGGAATGCACAAATTCCGGTTTTTCGGTATCGAGTATGAGTACCGAGATCTATCTTTTGGTACTCGCCCCCATACCGAGTACTGATACCGGTACTTCCACTAGCATGAACCGGGCTTCCTGGCCAATAACAAAGCCGTGACGCATGTCATTACCCGCCGCCGCCGCCTGGCTTCTTGAATGCCTGGGAAGCCAGCTCAATGCTGTTTGGCCGTATTTTTTTTAGATTATATTTAGACTTTATTCCAGAGGACAATTATTGCTTCTTCAGCCCTTCAGCAAATTTAAACTGCAACCCAAAAAATAGCACAAAAGTTTATTACACAAAGGTGTGCAAAGGCCAAAAGCACCAATAGGATTTTTTAGCATTCATCTGTGTGGTCAGGCTAATAAATCAGTGTAGTCAGGCTAATAAAAGATGATTTCTGATTGGCTGTTCCGGGTCCGTTAGCTGCACACATTGCTCTCGGCGGAGGGAAAGGTGACAGGGGATCTGGGTACATAAAGTGCTGACTGGGAGCGAAGCATTGAATGACGGCTCATGATTAATTGGCACCATAAAGCCGTGGCGTTGAGAGGGTTTCTCAAAACGATTTGTGTCTGGGAGGTGGGAAAAGTTTTGAAAACAGGTTTTTTCCATTGTGGTGGATTACTGGCTGTCACACAGAATCTACACATCTGTTTACACATGTAACGTGCTCAGCCGTTTGTGTGTGTTGATATATGAGACCTCCCTACTTCCTGCTGGGATACTGATCTCTGCAACACTTCATATCTCACTCATGGACCAACGAAGAACTCAGAATAATGATTCGACAACGTTTTAGGGATTCACAAATTATATATTACATCTAAACTTAAAGTTGATGTAAACCCAATCACTATAATCTCATAGAAGCTTTCACATGTTATTGTCATTTTAAAGGAATTTTCAATATTTTTAAATCTGCAGTCATTAAAATAATCCCTGAGGATCCTGCCATGAAGGTCCTTGACCAGGCACTTCCTGTTACGGGGGGACAATTTTCTCCCAGTTGTACTTGTGCTTTGTCACATGGTCCCCTGGTAGAGAATACAAGCGGCGGTGTGCCAGGGTCTCTTACCCTTTCTCCTCCAGTCGGCTGCAGTATCTTTGGCACTGTTGTTCCTCTTTAGCGCCCTCTTATGACCAAACCCGTCATCATTCTGCAACTACACCAAACTCCTGACAAATTCCTGTCTCAGAGTGATGATGATGATGATGACGACACCAGGGTAGTGACCTGGTGTCATCATCATTACTATGAGACAGGAATTTTCAGCTTGTCCATTCAGTCTCTGCTCTTGCGTTTGTTCTGATCTACCAAGTGCTCTGCAAGTTCCTGTTCTCAGCGTATGACTCTGGCCCTGGCAGACTGATCTCCTTGTTCCTGACTCTGGCTGTGGTTTCCGTCCATCCTGCTGACCTGGTTCCGCTACCTATCGGCTTTGGCAACTGATCTCTGCCTTGGCACTGACGACGTCCTGGACTTTTTCTATTGTTTTTTACCATTTATGTTTGGTTTTTTTTCAATAAACTCCTTTTAATTTCCAAAACCTGCACTTTAAGTTACTTTCTAGTCTTTTGGTTCCCTAACAGTACACAAGGGCCATGAATCCTGACACTGTGCTGATACATTCTGCGCAGGCATGGTCCACCATTATCATCACTAGGAAAACTGATGCAG